CTCGCCGTGGGCATGGTTGTCTGTCCCATGTCTTTCATGTATGTGTGTAGTCTCGAAAGGCCTTGTGAGTCTGCTGACGACAGACCGAGGGGGCCGGCATGTGCGTCTAGTGTAAAGGTTAATAGATCTTCTCATGAGGGATATAGGGGGTACCCGGCGCTGATAGCCGAAATCGACATCCTCTGAAGCTGCAAAAAGCCATAGGAAGAAAAATATATTCATAGCTATTTCTATTGAAGTAATAAATCGGGGTGCGTTCCTGAAGCTAAAATCCAGCACTGATCATTCGAATACGAGAAGCAGCGATGTAACCCGCGAGAGTATGGACTCTTCTAACCTGTCCCTGCACGAAGGCGCAAGGTGTAGGCAATAAGCGGAGCATTTCTGCGTTGCGGGGTGCATCGTTGGCGTAGCGTGAGCTGTGACCACAGCTGCCAAGATTTAAAATTTCTCAAAACTCTACATCTACAAAACTCATTTTTTTGGACACACTTTACTACGCATAATGGCTTATGTTTCGGGTTTTGATATTTGGAACTAGTAGACACTTTTTCGTAATATTTTCTCAAAGGTAACTCGAAAGCATTCTTTTCTCAAAGATCATTTTTCTTCAATTTTTTTCTAGAATAGAGAAAAGTAAAACTTGCGCAGGTCACCATGTACGTGTCACATTGAGGTGCCGCCAAGAAGATTCTATAGATTTTATAGACAGCCGCCCTGCTTTTGTACCCAACCCACCCAGAGTCAGAAGTCAAAAATGTCTCCTCCATTAAAAGAAAGGAAAGATTCAAAAGACGCCGCGATTCAGATGTCCGTTGCAAGATGGGTAGCGTTCACGTTAGGAAGGCCACAGATAAGTCTTTGCATTTGAGTGGGCGTGGTACTCCAATAGACGCCGCGACTTTTTCCGGAGACCGTTCGACCCTCTCAGAAAATTGTAGAAGCCAGCAATTTCTAACGGGCACATGCGTGTCTGTCAAACGGTTTTGGCATATCAAATGTCTCAAAGTTGGCCGCGCACGCAGTGGTGAATGCCGTTAAGGCCTATTCACAATCCAAAAATAAACACAAGCACGGTGTTAACATAAAAGTTATTACTAAGTCCATAAGCAAACTCATTCACAATGCGTTCATATAAAAGCTTACTAACTTGAAGCTTTTACGCTTATGCTTAAGTAAGACATAATAAACGGACCAATCACAGTACCTTTACTCAAAATCTAGTTTCTAAATAGCATCGAAGTCGATAGATTAACTAACGCCATTTACACTAGAGGGGTTTAGATGAACAAAAGTCCAAAATAATGTTTCAAAAGTTTACTGTCTAGAACTCTTTGTAAACTACTGTGTATGGTTCTACTGATTGCATGCTACGTGGCCACTGGTTTAAATCATGGTGGAAATAACTATCACGGTTATTTCTACCAATCGATCCCATAGGTCATGGACATATATCTCGAAGTCCACTATTGGTTGGATGTGAGAATAAAACAGAATGTCTCACAGCCAATATAAACTCTTATTTAGCTTACGTTTATGTTATACATTGTGAATACTTCAGTCTATTATTTCTGCTAATATTTACGTATATGCGTTAAGCTTATGTTTATGTTTGCATTGTGAATGGCCTTTAAGCCGCAGATGAATCGCATTTCACAGACCGCGAAGACGAAGGACCTACCTCTGTCTGCGTAAGGTCGTGCATGAATCGTTGCAACGGAAATGCAACGCGGATTCTTTTGTCGCATAAGAAAACGCATCATTGATTCAAGTATCGCTCCACTGCCGCTCCCCAATGCTGAGCAATCAGGGTGAGGAATTCGGATGAGAGGAGGGGACTGACGCCTTCGTTCTGTCGCGAGGTAGCTTTGGAATCACTTGTTTTTTGCGTTTCTGAGGAACTGGCGTCTTGGCTAAGTCTCGAACTCGCGCTTGCAATATAATAATAATAATAATAATAATAATAATAATAATAATAATAATAATGTCTTTATTAATGGCAAGGCTCAGGCCATGGGGCCTGCTCTTCCGCCTAACCACTGAATTTACATACATTTAGAATAGTAACATTTTAAGAGGGGAGGACAAGCTGTACATTTACGTCTGGGTGAACAAATCTAGAGACCATCCCGGCATACGCCTTAAGCGATTGTGTAAACCCAGACAAACTTCAATCAGGATGGCAGCTTAGGGCCGAAAATTAATAGGCAATGTCTTGCGGTGCTAGATTGAACCCACCATGGCTTGTATTTTTGACTTGCGTTAGCATGAACTTGCAGTTTAATATGGGCACTAGACTCCATGCTTTGAACTCCATCTCTGAGTTCAACTTAACACCACCGGGACTTAGACTGCGGTCTCGCTTGACTTTAAACTCAGTTCATCATCACGTTAATGCGACGTCGCCGACACCTCAGTGGGTCGTATTGTCTTGCGTTGTCGTGCTGTGTCCGGCCTGGGTGAACGAGAAAGCGACGACCGAGGCCAAGTATAATAAACCAGCTAAGTAAAGAATTGTTGCGCTTATAAATTCCGATTATTGTTTTTTCAGTGATGATAATAATAGTTTCAATTAGTAATTTTCCAATAATAGTGTTATCAAAACCTTGCAGCTGAAAGAAAAGAGCAAGCGAAATCCTGTAGGGTGATGCTCCTGGGTCACCACCCCTCGTGATGTATTCTTAAAAGTTGATTATGCCTCAACGCAATGCTCTCTGACATCATTAGCAGATAGAAGAGTTCTAAAGGGATCATATTCCTTGCGTAGGCTACAACCCCTCTCTATTTCTTGTTCTACCAAGGAGATAGCTCACCGCGGTGGGCACCTAAGCTCTGTGGTTTTTATCGGCACTCCATTTCAGTGCCAAGAACACCTTCAGGCCAGAATCCGGATCCCACTGAAAAGCAGTTACCTTGACGAGAACCACCCTAATTTAGCCTGGATGGCGCCAGACAAGACTAGCTTTCCAGGCCAGCACCGAAGTCGAATTAAGCGCCACTCAACACACGCTGGGACAAGTCTCTTCTTAATTAACTATCCACAAGTATCGGGCATTGCCACGTCGAAGCCCAACTGTGGGCCGCCCAGACCGCAGACCATGTGCCTCGAGGCCCTCAACTCATCTCCTCATTGTCGCCACATTGAAGCATTCGACGTGAGTACAACCGGGATATAGGCAACGTGACAGGGGTATTCATGCTCCCCATAGGACTTTCACGTGGGATCGGGAGCAAGTCCCTCGCCCAATTATGCCCAAAGGACGAAAGGGTAGAGGCCCAACTGATGGATGACGGAGCGAACCCCACAAATGAAGTTAAGCATCGCCTTCTCACTGTCCCCACTTTTTCACTAACGACGTGAGTTCTGCCGAGTAACACAGATCCGAGTGGACTAACAGTCTCAGGTCTTGCGAGCCTTTGCCATGCCCCCTTCCCTGGCGGGAAAAAGGAAGCACACCGTAGGCCTTCATGAAGATGATAGATCATTTCGGTGATTCCTCCAGTTTTTCACAATGTTGGAACAAGTAGGTTCAAGACAGCCTTCGGCGGAGAGGCTCGCGAAAACCAGGAGAAATCAAAAGCTTTCATTTGGCTGGAAAGGAGCCATTTTCCAAACTTCGGTACGAGAGGCAATTCGTTGAGTCCTCCGTGAATAATCCTGCCATCCACTGGGCGACTTCTTGAGGAAGATTCTTGCCGCCAGTTAGAACGACTTTCTTCAACCCCATATGTTGGTCACAAGAGACTAGACTGATATCTTGCCCGGAAAATGGGTCAACCTCTGAGTTACAAATATCGCTTCTGTCTTGGAGAATACAAATCTGTGTGAGGAGGCTAAATACCCTGCGAGAAATCCGGCGATTTGAAGTTGAGCATCACAGTTCAAAAGGCCAACTATCATAGTTAATGAAACGATTTCACATGATACCAAATCACATCGTGTAATAATCATGTGCATTTTAAAGACGTGAAATACTCTAGATACTACTATCAAGTAGTTTCATTCCGTACTCTCGTCCTTCTCCTGTCGCAGTGTTTCAATAGGATAACGCTCGACGACAGTTCGTCACGATTTCAACCGAAGAGTGTAACGTATGTTGCCGAGAGAAAATGCACACACCGATCAGTCAAACATCTGTTACATCAATGCATTCTTGGCTATCCGAGATGAGCCGCGACTCGGTCAATTGTACTAACGTTTTGGCCATCTTACTGTGGCCTTCTTCAGATCTATACTTTGATCAGTATAGCTCTGAAGAAGGCCAAAGCAAGATGGCCGAAACGTCAGTCCAATTGACCGAGATGCTGCTCATCCCGGGTAACCAAGAATGCATTGACTCCGGTCGCGGAAGCCTACGAACCCATCTGTTACATCACACTGTGGGTAGGCAGAAAATCTAAATACACAAATGTTATGTGTAATATGAATGGGATTGAGAGTCTCCATGACGAAGCTTCGGGTGTCGTTAGCCACAGTCGCATTTCCCAACCCCGAGCCAATTTGGTGCTTGTGGGCGCCCACAATCTCCTCGTCGACGAGCCGTTACCTGCGGCGACCGCCGCCGGGAGCGCGTCGGTCGGCGCCGTGCGGCCTTGCTTGTGGACCCCGTGGGCGGCGAGGCCGCCCCGCTCCGCCCTCTCTGGTGTAATTGCTCGCGGCGGCGCCGGCGTCGGCGCGCGAGCGGAGGAGGGTCCGGGCGGGGCGGGGCGGGGTGGGGAGAGGAGTAGAGGGGCGGGGCGGCAGACAGCCATGGCGCGCCACTTCCCTTGATTGCTGCTTCCGGCGCCGCCCGCGCTGGCGATCTGCTCGTCTCTGACCACGCGGGCGGGCGACGCTCCGGAGGAATTGCAGGAACTGGGCGTTGATTTAGAGAAGGGCGGAGGCAAGGAATCATAGTGCATTAAATGACCAACTCATGACCATAACATTTAATCCAATAACGATCACTAATGTATAAAATAATATAAAGGTCTTGTTAGAAACCTAGGTTATAGACCAAATGGTATGGTATTGTCTTGTGTGATTGAATCACATTCTTCTCAAAAATAAAAATTGATTTAGAGAACTCTTGTTTTTAAACCGGATTAAAAAAGTATTATATCATAAATGGCAAGTAATACAAATAGAAACAAATTACTTCTTAAAAGTAGTTGATTTTAAGAAATAGAACTAGGAAACTAGTGGTGCTAAAACAGCACATACTTTCTTCCTCGAGTTTTCGAAAATTACGAAAAGTACTAAACTGTTCGAAAAATTGTTCATGTCCTTATTTCAAAACCTATCTTTTAAAAACTTAATATTTTACATTTTTTTATTTTAGTTGTACGAAGACTGAGATAAAAAATTTGCAATTTTCAAAAAAAATTGAACTTTTGCAAATTTCAAAAAATCAATATTTTTAACGAATATGAGACCTGCACCATTCTCTTAAACGTCCTTCGCACTGTCAAACAACAAACTTTAATAAAAAACAATGGAGCAACTTTTTTGAAAATTTGGAAAATGTCGCACGAACGGCATGTAAAGTACTTGAAATGAAATATCAATTTCAAATTCAATGGACAGCACTACAGTCAGATTGATTGGAGAATATCAATTTTGAAGAAAATTGGCTGAACAGTTTAGCCGCTAACGCTGTTCACAGATTGACAGACGAACGGACGTTTTGCCATCATTCGATTTTTTGGCACCAATATCTCACAAAACATGGTTTCTGGCTACATCTCGCGATAGAGAATTATTTTCGAAATTTAGTAACTGGATTTATCCACATTTTGTTATAGAGACCCTGTAATAAGAGATTTTCTGTCGGAAATTCGCAATTTTTTCGCGTAGTTTTACGTAACATTCTTTCTACTGCATGAGCGCAAGCGAGAAAGTAAAATAGTTTTGTTCAAAAAAAAGTATTAGAAAAAATACCCCTTCCATAGAAGTGCATTCAAATCGATTATTTTTGAAGAATTTTCTAAGAATACCACTACGGATTGGCCGTGTTGTGGTAACTGAGGATCGAGAGCTTGCGCTGAGACCAAGTATCTACTGCCTACGTGTAGTGCAGGGGATCGTATATCGAGTGTACATTCGGTGAGCTGAGCCGTGCTGAGGGATTTTGTATTTTTTTTTTTTTTTGTATTGGGAAAATTGTGAACTGGATTATCACGTATATTTTAATTGCTGTGGGTCTGTGGTGAAAAAATTGTTATTTGGTATATCATATTTATTTCTGAACATAATAACTAATTACTTGATAATTAAGCGTTCTTTTACAGAATTTTGTAATTGTGGATGATACCCCTTCCTTTCTTGGATTTGAACATTACGAGTTGATTTTATAAATTAGTTATTCTCAATAATAGTCTGCCAATGATTGCATTATTAACATTGAAATTAAAGCATTATTAATGCATTGATCGTTTAACAACAGGACATTATCATGCATCATTGTATGTCTGTTTTGGCATTTTGGGGTGGACTGTCCGACTTTGCCGGTTAGCTAACGATGTGCCTGAACCTACATTAATTCCCATGCTCAGGGGGTAAGAAGCGAACATGAGATTCTCCCTTCACCGATACTAGCAAATCTCCGCCTGCCTGCGCTTTCCTTCGGCACAAAGCTTTAGGGACTGAGACTGTTTTAAAGGAATGTTACAACTCTATTTTTGCCTCGACCGGGAATCCAACCCAGGATCACACCACGGGAAGCTAGTATGCTATCCATGAGCCATCGTGGAGACTAACATGTACCATTAACTTCATTCATTACATAAAAGTTATGTTCCGTCATTGTGTTTGATTGCACACTTAGTTGATAAAACTTATTACAATTTTATTATTTTTAAATTTCTTGTTATTATTTTATTTATCAAAAATAACGGAATTTATTTTTTAAATATCACTCCCATCGTTAATACTTACATTACAGGTGTAATGATAGAGTTCAATTTGCCTTAATCCTTCCGTGGAAAAGTTTAAAGAAAAAAGTTTTAGCCGTTTTTGAGAAAATCTTTTTTTTTAAATTGCACATATTGTAAACAATATTCTTCAAAAACTAATGAAATTTTGAAAAAACTGTACCTGATCTTAATTAAAGAACTAATTATGGAAAACAAATTTAATTTGAAGGAAAAATATCTTCAATTTTGTAGTTGTAGGAAGTCGCCGAATAATTCAAACTTTTGCATTTATCGATAATTCAGAGTTATTAGTGATAATAGGACACATGCCACATTTATAAGTGTATTTTTATCTATTCTTACACGAAATGTAAAAGAAAACATTAGCAGCCATTTTTGAGTAAATTTGAAAATGTCCCAGTGGCTTTATATAAAGTACCCCCAAAAATGAATGAAAGTTTTTCAACTCGCGGAGCATTGACTCATGCGAAATAAAGTGGTTTATTCAGTTTGAAAAAATCGTACTCATAGTTTGGGCGCCAGTGTTGTTCACATACAGCAAACAGACGAACGCGACGGAGGGACGTTTTACCGTTAATAATAATACCGTTTTCGGTATCAAGGACCGACAAATCATGAATTCTTGCTACACAACGTGTTAGGAGATTTTTCCCCTTAATTTAGCAATTGGAGTAATCTACTTTCTCATTATCAGGGCCGGGCAATAATTTTTTTCCAGCAAAAATCCGCGGTTTTTTCACTCAGCATTACTTAACTTTCTCTATACTACGTATATTACTCCATAAATACGTACGTATACGGTAAAGTAAAAAACCCAAATGGTCAATTATGTTTGTAGAGTGCATTTTAGAAGATACTAGATAATAGATACGGTGTGCATTTCAAGAAGTTTGGTGAAGAAATGTTTTGTTTCTGATACTCTTAATTGAACTTATTTTTCTCTCTCTTCCAATATTTTCTCATATTTTACATTCTCTTTTCTCCGCCATATACTTTTATATCAGAAAGGAGAAAAGTTATCTCGCAGCCCGCTTTCCCATTTGATCCGCCTAAACGTAATATTTATATAGCAGTAATAGTATAGAGGAGAATAATACACTGCAATGCGATTGGAAGCCTCAGGAATACTCCTTTGTGTTCGACCGGAGTCCTTTCTTTCTGAGCACGTGGATCTTCTCTTTCTATCCGTTAAATATGCGAGCGGGGATTTGACAACCGTGCGCCGGTGGCCCGGGGAATCCCCTCTCCGTGCGCCGACGCGCTCCGAAGCCCCGTAATTCCAACCAAATAGATTTCTTGCCAGAACCCAAAGCTGCTTTGGCGCTCGTCTTTCTAAGTGCATTTGTATCTACTTTCTAAGCCAGTGCTCACTCTTTGTCTTTGGTCTTACTTTCTGGAACGCATTTGCCGACGCACGCTCGCTCTCAGACCAGTAAACGCATATTAGTGATTGCAATAAGCAGACGAAAAATAACCAATAAAAGAGTTTGTGAGTGAATTTATTTAAAAGTCATTTGCTTTTTACAGTGAACACTCAAGTCGGTGACAAATATACCATGTAAAGCTGTTATTGTGTACGGTAAAACGCGTAATTAAGAATTGCATTTGAATATTTTCAAAAAACATGTTTTCAATCAACAAAGTAGGGGTAGTATAAAGAATTTGAGTCAACCGTTACTTTCATTAAAAGGTGTTTTCCGTTTATGAATTTAAATATAATTAAATTGTTTTCTGTTATTGCAATACATATCTCGTTCAATAGAGTTTTCTCAAAACAACATAATGGTATATTCTTAAAAATAAGGCATATTCTTAAATTTCTTTTAACCGGTGTCAAAACATCTAAACAGTTTTAGTCATTAGTTTTGTAAAGTAAAGTAATACCAAACCAAATTTATTTAATTTTGTGTGTACTATTTTATTCTTTTTTATGTTTGTTTCAGTATAATTCAAAGAAATCTGTCATGTTCAATAACGACAGGTTGAACAATTTTTGTCGCACGGAGCATAGCTCGTTAAATGGAACTCCACCCCTATTTCACATGAGTACTTGAAGAAAGAATGTTATCACTGGCAGGTGATATGCAGGTAAGAACTTTTTTAACATATTATTAACTATTAAGTCAATCTTAAGAAATGATAGGCTCGATATAAGAGCTGCAAGTAGTTATTTATAAGGACATAAACCATAAAAAAACAAATATTTGAAACTCATTTCTCGGTTTGCGCGATTAATAACAGAAGTGTAGAGCTTTCTAACAAAAGTTGGATTTTTCATCTTTTCCAAATCCATTACGACCGCCAGATTCTTCCACGCAGCTGGCTGCACCTCCAGCCACATTTTTCCAACTGCCCCTGCCGCTTTGCCAGCCACCGCCCTCTCACTCAGTTTATTCCGTAATGCTCCCACTGCTTCTTGTATGTGTGTTTCAAAATGGAGGTCGTCCTAACGTGCGTTCCCTACCCGCTCGTCTTTATACACTCTTTATTCTCTTTGTGCGGCAAACCTCCCCAAAAATTGAAACTTTATCCGCACCGCGATTTCATTCAACCCTCCGTCAACTATATATAAAATTCTATCTGGGGGGTAGCGCGGGCTCGCCTTTGGCTGTCTGCCGCCCGCAGGCCTCCAATCAAATAGCGCCTCGGCTCACCGTGAGCGTGCTCTGCTAAATCCTTTTCACATACGGACGGTATAAAAGCGGCGAAATTTTTTGGGCGGTCTCGCGGTTTTCCTGCGTCTCTCGAACCCTTTTACTCCCCCGGGCGAGCCCGGCGGAAACGCACCGATGCATATAATCAAAAATTACTTTCAGTTCTACCCGAGCGCATACCGTTTCGCGTTTATTGGCTTTCCCCCCGCCCCCGCTCGTTCCCAACCTCCCCGCATGTCCTTTGCCACACCCACTCCGCTGTACTCCCCCCTCTTTCCCGCAGCCCTCTCCCCGTTCCCTCCCCCCCTCCCTCTCTCTCTCTCTCTCTATCGCTCTCTTTCTCTCCCTTGCTTTCCGTAACGATGATATTTGCCGGAGAAGTTTTTAATGAAATATGATGTGTATGCGGGGTACTTGGTCGCTTCTGGCGAAAGGCAGTGCCGGTAATTGGATGTGGGCGCTCCCTCTGGTTATTTTGCGCGCGCCGAGGTGAGGGTAGCGGGAGGCGAGTTTCGCGTATGTGTAAGAATACGCTCCAAATCCACGCTGCGGCGAGTGGTGGGCTGATTCGAGTCTCGCGTGCTGCGTAAAGGGACTGAATTACTTGAGCACTAGAATTTCATTGTTGCTAATGTTGAGTCTCTCCCGATTTCTTTCTCGCGGTTTCTACTTATTTTGTTGGCGCTGTATTTTTCTTGATACTCATTTGGGAATTCTGAAATACTGTTTTTGGCAATCCACTATCAACTCCTAATTTCTCTTCTCGCACATTAAACCACTGTAAATAAAATCACTAACTCAATTTCTATCACCATTCGCAAATAACGTCACTTCATTAAATTTTAAATAACTTTGCAATGTTCCTAAAATATGTGTAAAGTAATACGTTCCCGGAATCAGAATTCATAAATTTGATCATAAATTAAACGTAAAATTGAATTAAAAATTGAAATTGTATCATAAATTATGTTTTCAAAATTGCAACGTATTATCGAACATATGTGTCTAATCCTATTTTCCCCGTTTGCCTTGGATATCCTAATTTAAAGCGACCTGTAGTACAGGAACCAGCGCCTCACCTTACCAACTCTCAGTAGTGGTATGCAAATCCCAATGGAGCCATTTTCTTGGCAAAGCGGGTAAGAAACAGGTTTATTCTTCTGCCTCTCTTTCTCTCGCCTACTCCGGAGGCTTTCAATGACCAGGAGAATGTGCGAGTGGCTTGCAAACACACTCCCTTCGCCACGGGCGGGCACGCCCCTTTTCTAAGGAGTGAGTGGAGGCATTTAAAGTTGGGTCACGTGGGTGTTGGGGCTCGCCAGGGTGGATGAAGCAGTCTGGAAAGGGATGGTTGGTTGGTTGTTGGTGATTCCGGGCGACTACTGCAGTCATTAGTCCCGTAATTGTAGTGCATTTTTCCTCGTGAGGAGGCGGTGGTCTTTCCACGCTGGATGGGGAGACACGGCGCCGACCTATTGCTGGCTAGAAGGATTTCCTCAACTAGGTATCTCCCATCAGCGGGGCACTGCCCGAGCTGAGACAAGTTCTAAGCGCCCGACCGGTCTCCCGTCATGTGGGGCTGTGTAGTGCGTGTTAGTGTGAGTGTAAGGTGTGAAGATGGAACAAGAAAAAGGAAGGAAAGATCGCGCGCGGTCCGTGGCCCGTTTGTTAGGGTACTACTTTGTCACTCGCTTGGTGTTGATATGAGAAATCACGGAAAACTACCGATCAGGCAGAGATATTATAGAACAATCCTACAAACAGCGAATGAATTCGACCTAGCTGAGAATCTTATGTCAAAAATATTGTGTCGAAAATCTTGTCATTGTCTGGACTCGAACCTAGGACCTCCCGAGCTGAAGCACTGCAGTGCGATCAGTTGACGTATTGAGCCACCTCTTCCGGTCTGGAACGCGAGCCCGACGCGAGTTTCTGCTAGTAGCCCGTGTATGGGGGCGCCTGAGTTGTTAAAGTGGTTTTCTGAGTGCACTACGGAGTGTTCGTAGTTGTATATAGGAATTCTGTTGACGCCGACTGTGCCTGGTATTGGATATTGTGTTTGGATTTTGTCGACTTCGACTAAGAGTTGGTTAATCTCCTGCTAACGACAACAGTGCTTTGGTTATATTGAATAATACATTATTTTCGGTACGACCTGGGACTCTGGAATTGTATAAAGTGCGCAATAAACATTTATTAACAGTTTTTTCTTGTGTATTTTTGGACTTAACACCTATCACACTCCCTATTGGCTGGGAAGTGTTAGGGGTGCAGTTGAGTGCTATCTACACCGAAAAAGGGAGATGGCTCCACGTATTTGTGGTAGCAATATTAATTTGGAAGACAAAAAAGATCCTGAAATATAGCGGTGAAAACAGATCTAAGATCAAAATCTAGTGAATGAAATTAATTAATATTGAATTCCTTCTACAACCAATTGTATTGGAAAAATTGTCTACATCATCTGCAACCTTTATCAACAAAGAAAACAAAAATTGTTGGTTAAAAATTATTTCATTACTTTATTTGTTTCGATTTTGACCTCATTGAAAGGAAATGTTGGTATTAAAGCGCAGCACTTCACGAAGAGTTGTTTAAACATTATATTTTGTTGTTGACCAGACGCTCCTCGGGTATTAAATAGAAGTATGTTTATTCGCCAAGTAGACGTCGCTCTATCCTACTCACGCAACGTTCTCCCTGTTTCTTTATTTCCGATCATCGGCTTCCTATCTCTACCCGTCGAAACAAGCTTTTAACTTTGACTTTTCAATTACTTAAAGCTAATTGCAATATCGGGATGAATGGAAAATGTTTAGTGGAAAATGGTAAGGGAAGGTCAATCAGTTAATGTATAGAATCGTATTCTTATTGTAACAATCACAGTAATAATAATATAATTAATCACAGTAATAATTAATAGAACATGGTATGAATGTATTTGGCATTTTAGGATCGGATTAATCAGACTTTGCCAGCTGGTGGTGCCCCCAGGCCTAGGTCCTGTTGTTATTAATTATCCATGCTCGCGAGAAGACGCGGGGCGGGGGCATGACGCTCTGCCATCACAGTATGTAACCTGCTTGGACTGCCTGAGCCTTTTCTTTCATTACACACGTACAGAAAATGAGGCGATATAAACCTACTAGAAAGCTATATTTCCTTTCTTCCCCGGACGAGAATCGAACATGGGACCTCACATAATGCTAGCATGCTCTCCATGAGCCACCCGAGGATGTTAGAGCATAGGAACTTATTTTTTAAAGTGTATAGTTTATCAACAAAAATATGTTAGAGAATAAGGGTAACTTGGGATGAAGTTGTCTTCTCTTACTCCACGTTTTATATGGAAGAGGTCTGCTTCTCGGTCAGTTCTTACATTTACATTGCTGCTTGCGTAAATTTGGACTAAGATTATAATGGTATTACTAGAAATGTCTTGTATTAAGAACATAAAATGTGCATTCATGTTGGACATTGTCAAAAGTTTTTGCGAAGTCAACAAAAACAATGTCTAGTTTAAGGTTAAATCCATTTGTTTTTGTAACTGTCGATTAACTGCTTCTTAATGATCTGTAGTTCTGAAGCGAGAAAGCCTACCCGCTCTGGTGGTTGTTTGTCGGCAATAATTTTTGACAATCTCTTCGTAACATTTTTTGAGAAGAGCTTAAAAGATTTGACTCAATAGAGCACCTCCAAATGATTTAGTGGCATGTGGAGCGAGAAGTTTCTGACAAGCTAAGGTGCTTTTGTAGATATTCTTAGAATTTCTGTTCTTCAAAGTTAGAACTTTCAATAAAATTCTACGCAATAAAAATAGTTTTCGCGTAATTTTAAGTGGAGGTGTGATTTTTTTAAATATAAGATTTTATCAAAATCAGCTCCAAATTTTTGTCCCAAACGTATATATAAATGTTTTGCTCCTATAGACCAATTATTTCAGATAAGAGCCTTAGAATTGATTTTAAGTAAAACCTCCGGAATTTCGAAAATTGCAAGAGATGATTTTTTTTATAAGTCAATAAGCAGAGAGCATCCTCAAAATGAGTGGAGAGAGTGAGTGAATGTTTTTTTAGACTTTTTCGTACAGGGCTGCTGGCGGAATCGACGATCTCCGCGCTCGCAGCGGCGGCGGCGGAGGACGCTCCTCGTGAAAAATTGATCGCGGCGGTTTTTAGGGCTGAGAGCCGGACGCGGGATCGCTCTCGGCTCGCCCTCACAAACGGAATCTCCAATCAATCTTATTACGAGCGGCTCGGCGCGCCGGCCCGTTCTCCGGAGACGCCACGACGGCACTGGCAGCTGCACCGGCGGCAGGGATGAAAACGTCCCTATGAAAGTTGTATTGACTTTTCGTGTGCAGAAGATCGGTAGCTGTGCCGATGATTATCATTCTGAAGACAGCATGAGATGTTGCGTTGGTATAGTGTGCACTTGTTAGGAGCGCAGTGGTAGTTTTATGGGCATTATGTCACAAACTGCAGGAGGTAGTCTTCTGATGTGCTCTACGTGATTTAGATGCATAAAACGATTCAAAATTGGCGCGCGCGCTGAGGAAGCGCTCGCCACGACAGGGTAAGCAACCTCTGGAACGCGAGCCCGAGGCGGGTCGCTGCTAGTGACGTATTGCCAGTATTTGAGGCGCAACGGGCGTCGGAGAGAACAGACTGATTTTGTGATTGCGCTGCGGAGTGTTTGTGTGTGTATATATATATATATATATATATATATATATATATATATATATATATATATATATACACTGTGTCGGCTATTGGATATTTTACTTGGACTTTGGTGGCTTTGGATAAAAACTAGTAAATATCCTGTGAAGACAGTGCTTGGACAGTACATCTCCTGGTTTTTTATTACTCGTACATGATGCATTATTATCGGTTCGAATAGGAACTCTGGGACTGTATAAAGTAAAACACGCATTACGAGCAGTTTTATACATTATTGCACAATTATTTCTGATGACGTTTCTCGAAAATTCAAAAGTATACATTCAAAAGGAGCTTAAAATGGCGCATTATCAGAAAAGCTCAAAATTTACCTTCTTAAAAACGGCTCCAAATTTTCCAATGAATATTTGGGAGTATGATTAGTTTTTACAGTTCTATAATATATTTAAATTCGTATTCCAATTGTATTGTTAGGAGACCGACAAAGTGAGGGGGAAAAAAAAGTATTTTAGTTCTCGAGAGGGAGCAGTTTGGAAGATGGTGGGGCAATATCGAGAAGCTAGCCTATACCAAAGAATGCGAGAAAGTCTGTGGCAGGTGTTTTTCTAGTGTTTTGTATCTCTGCAATGAGATAAAACAGCAAACACATGGTTGCTAGATATTACGCGAAATTAAATAAAATACAGATGTACATGTTTAATTTAAAAAAAAAACAATTCCAGTGGGTATAATAAGAAGGTTAGTGATTCCTACTTTACAAATGATGTAACATTATTGTTTAAGCCTGTCATCAAAAGACTGATTAAATATTTCTGTTTAATTGCCCGTAAAAGATGTTCAAGTTCTACAATGCCACTGTCTAGCTTTCATCTTCAGCAATTTCTAAACCATTTCTTTCCTAACAGGTCCAAATTTTCTTAAGAAAGTCTAAATTTAGTTATACAAAACTTTCAAATACGATGTTGAACTCTTTTAAGTATAATATAAATTCATTCGTTTCTTTTTTCTGAAATTATTTTAGAAGGAAATCTCCAAATTAAAGAAGGCTTGAAATCTTAATGTGTGTTTTCATTTTAATTTCTTAGTAGTTACTAATATATTGGTAGAGTTCATTTTAATTGCAAACTTTTAATACAAATTTGGAAGAAAGTTCGCGTTGAACACATCGAAATTTTATTCGCGTTGAACACATCGAAACAAGTTTATTAGCGACTGCACCCATACATGATATACTATAATCTAATAATATACTATAATTTGATGTGTTTGAAGAAAGAAACAAAATCCATAATAGTTTCAATAAAAGGTGGTGCACCATGGTACTGACTTAAAATATTTTAGAGATGATGGTCTGCAATAAAATTTAAAAAATGTAGGGATTGTTGATTGTTAGACCAATCCCTCAAAAAACATTCAGTAGTTGAAAGTTTCTTTCTTCAGTGAAAAAAAGTGCATACTCGCACTCATTAATCAACAGTTTTCTCATAAGTAACTTAATTTACTGCAAATGTAGAGGAATATAGTATTTAGAGGTATTTCCAGTTAACACAATGGTTTAATTTTTGTGTGAAATATTTATATTAAAGATACTGTGTTGTACTAAACAACCCAAACTTTTTCGTTTAATTTTTTTAATTTTCCGGTCAAACTATAGATTAATCGATATAAGACATTCAGAATATCATAGAAGGAAAAAGAGCGAAATTTGTTCTTTAGTGGATATTAGTTCTTGGGGAAGATCGTTGAGGAAACTGAGGAAAGAGCCTGCCTTCCGTTTTGCAACCTCCGCTTCGAAAGTGATCATTTTGTGCCAAAGAAAGAAGCGGATGAGGCCACCCCATACTTACGCGCAGCAGTAAAAGGGGATAAGGTATCTCGGTCATTACGTAATGCTTCAGTCCTCTGATGAACGAGACCAAAGAAAAGCCTCTTAAAGGAGGAAATGGCCAATGAAGATATGGTGATTGCCACTGCACCCGGGATGAGATGAGCTAAACCGGATCTCGATTGATATCGTTTCCTACAATTTTCTAAATCGAAAATGACATAGAAACGTCCTCCAGAAGTTGTGGGATTAAATTATTGTTGAGTACTGCCAATTGACTTAAAAATCTTTTCCCATTGGTTGTCGACTAACATGTCTATACTTCTCTCCATTATATGCAGAGTATCATTGGATGATGATGATGATGATGATAATAATAATAATAATATAAATTATATTTTAATATGATCTAATGTATGTTTTAAAGGTTTATTTGGTTTATTGTTGTTTTTTTTGCCGTTGGTACGTAGTTCGAATAACTTTACATATATATTTTGAGGACTTGCTTGATAACTTACCATGTCTAAAACTTAAATATAATTTATGATTGAAGATGCCAAAAGGATCATTTAGTAAAGTTCGATTTCAGAAGTTTTTTAAGAAATACATTTTAAGGGTATTTATTTTTTATTCTGGTGTTGCAAAGGGGATTTGGAGTGAATTGAAAAAGAAGTTTGTGGTCAGATATATAATATTGTATGTGTTCTGGATTAAATTATTTTAGAAGTTGGTCACTAACCATGGTTTACTGAATATTGTTCTATGAGAATTATTTGGGTTTAATTGGATGTTTAGTTTTGAGGCCCGGCTATGGAGTAATTTGAGATGTAATTGACGTATTTCTCAAAGATTCTTTTTTGTTTCTGATTAAATGAGAGAGATGCTAGAGGGGAATGTTGCTGTATTGTATGGAAATTGAACCATTTTAAATCTTGTTTAGTTGAGGTCGATCTGCGGCTTATAAGTAAAATAGTGTAGGTGAAAGTGGAAAACCTTGAGGTAGACCTACATTTATTATTCTGGGATATGAGTGGTGATCATTTACTGCTGAAAGTAACCTGTTTTGAAATATGAGTTACAGATGTTCGTTAGGGATGCTAGTTCCGGTGCAGGTAATTGTTTTAGAATGCGATTATTGATGTGTCCGTGTGATTTTTTAAGCAGTAAGTTATTAAACATTTTTCTTGATTTTCAGTGGGTGATGTATCTTGTACTTATTTTATGATTTGGTCCATATTCACGTTCTTTTGCTGATTTGGTTATTGTGATAAGTTCTGGGTGGAAATTAATGTTGTTGACAGGGAATATAATTATGAAATAATTTGCTAATTCTTCTGACTTTTGATCGGATCTGTAAGCTTAGCTTAAAGTCTTTTTGGAAGGATTTGTGTTTTCTTTTTCGCATAATTTTTGTGAATTGCCACAGGGAGTTATTATGCGTGCTGAGTGGCTGAATTAGATTGTGATATTGTTAATTATTGTAGTTAGTTTTAAGTTTGTTTTTAGGTTTAATTCAGTTTTTAGTTCAGGTGTTCTAACCTAAGTCTTTTTGTATTGTTTTTTACTATAATTGCATTCAGTGTCTTTTAGTGGTCTTTTGACTATTTATATTTAAGTTGGAGGTAAAGGTAATTGTGTTATTTTTATAGTGGAGTATATTAGTTCGGCGATAGACCAGTCGATAAGTACTGAACCTTAGAGTTACCTGGAGGGTTACCTGGAGAAAGGTGGTAAAAACTTTTTCTTTGTGTATGCTGTATGTTCCCATGTACTAGCTAAAACAAAGTTTTTTCGACTTCTCAGACCCTGTGCTATCACCTGTTTTTCTACCTTTTCCCGTTTTTATATCACTCTTTGACCTTAAGTCCAGGAATAAAATACGTTATTTAAATAAATTTTAAAGATAATAAATATTCCTAAACATTTGAAGGAAACACTTATTTTGCAAGTAATAATCAAGTGGGCTTCAGCTTTTAAAAATCGCTATATTTTCTTTTCTCCAAAATGTGTGCAAAAACACCCACTTATTTATATTATAATCAACTTATAATAAATATAATTTTTATAACATGTGATACAATTAATGATTTGCACTGTCGCTGAAATTATTGTCTCACAAATATACCCATTGCCCAAAATATTAGTAATGCATTGAAAACAGAGACGGAGTGTATATGTGTGTGTTCGTGTTTCAAATTAACTCTCAAGATCATTTCAACAAAATTTGGTCAACATTATTGAATTAAGTGAAGAGAATATTGAGGGGTTAGACATTCCTAGAGGGACGTGAGGGGACAGAGTGACATTTACAAATAAAATCATTAAGCATCCCGCATAATGCACTCTAAGCGATCATAGGGGAAGAGACGGGCAGCGGTGTTGAATTGATTGTGGTTGATTGATTGTGATAAATAAAAACTGTGCTCAATGGATATCACCCTATAAAATATAAGTAAATGGCGTATATGTTCTTTGCCTATGCAACACGATGAGAATAAGGTGCGATTATAGCTAATTCCAGAATTAGGCGGTTAAAGTGTTTATGAACGAGAATTGGTGGATAGTGTCTGTTGTAGGAAAAGTTTCAAAGCATACTAGAAAAAATGGCCAATATAAATTCACAATACCCAAAACGAGGTGGCTGGCGCATGTGAAGTTTGTTAAGATACTCACACGAAATATATTTAATAAAATGGCCCCGTATATTCTTAACGTAATTTTAACAGCAAACATAAATTATCCTTTCTATCGTTCGGTAATACCTGACCTTGATTTGGACTTAAGTCCAATAATAATCTCTTTTTGACGTACCG